TGTTAGTCGCAGGTTCAGCAAAAATGGGGAAACAAATATTAAAAATTTTGCTCTAGATACTATCTTTTGATTATAAGAAGCTTCTGTCCAAGTTTGGTAAACGTCCAGGATGTAAAATACAAGATGATTTATGAATCTAATAAATGTTTTAAAAACTTTAACTTTAACTGCAGACTGTATGTAATGTTAACTGGAAGAAAAACTAAGTCCATTTATAAGTAATATACGGAAAAACAGGTAATAAATTTTTACAACATTTTCTTCTAGATACTAGCTTTTGATCATAAACAAGCTTCTGTCCAAGTTTGTTATAAATCCAGGATAGTTTAAGAAAGTTATCAAAATTTTTAAAACTTTAACCACAGAGTAAATGTAATGTTAACTGGAAGAAAAACGAAGTCCATTTATGAGTAAACTACGGAAAAACAGGATTTTTTTTTACAAAATTGTCTTCTGGATACTATCTTATGATCATAAACAAGCTTCTGTCCAAGTTTGGTAGAAATCCAGTATAGTTTAAGAAAGTTATTAAAGTTTTAAAAACTTTAACCACAGAGGGAATATTTGTGGCCGCGGCCGCCGCAACGGAATGTAGGATCGATATGTCTCGCTTTTGTGACAAAAGTCGCATGCTCGACGAAAAGAAAATATTCAAAGATCTTTCTCTTGTATATATATATGTATATGCTCGGAAACGGGCCCTTTAACATGTTTAATTGGATTCAATAAATATTCTTATTCTTATTCTGTATATTCAAACAATTGTCAACAAATTATTTGTGACTTTCTGTCCTGTGAATTTTTGTCCTGTAACTTTTTGTTCGTTAACCGTTTGACAACCATCTGTTAAAATGTTTTAAAAAAAAACTTCAACACAATTTTGTTTATAATCTTGGAATGTTTACTCAATTAAAATAAATACAAACTTAGAAATACCACATCCTTGTATACTAACTTTAGAGAAAAAGAATGTGTTTTTTTACATCTTGTATTAAATACTAGTAAATACATGTAAGATTATTTATACCATATTTCGGCTTCGATAATGCATTCTTTTATTTTCTACTCAATAACTATATATGTTGACAAAATTTGTTACCCTATCTAATATTGAGGTTAATTACATATATATGATAAAAATGATCATGTTATTTCAAATATTTTGTAACCTGATTTCCCATGCATGTAACCATTGTTACCCTCAATCCCCATGTATGTAACCACTGTAACCCTCATTCTCCATGTATGTAACCATTGTAACCTGATTTCCCATGCATGTAACCATTGTAACCTGATTTCCCATGCATGTATCCATTGTAACTCAACTTCCCCATGCATGTAACCATTGTAACCTGATTCTCCATGTATGTAACCATTGTAACCCGACTTCCCCATGCATGTTACCATTGTAACCTGATTTCCCATGCATGTAACCATTGTAACCCTCATTCTCCATGTATGTAACCATTGTAACCTGACTTCCCCATGTATGTAACCATTGTAACCTGACTTCCCCATGCATGTAACCATTGTAACCTGATTTCACATGCATGTAACCATTGTAACTCAACTTCCCCATGTATGTAACCATTGTAACCTGATTCTCCATGTATGTAACCATTGTAACCCGACTTCCCCATGCATGTAAACATTGTAACCTGATTTCCCATGCATGTAACCTGATTTCCCATGCATGTAACCATTGTAACCCTCATTCTCCATGTATGTAACCATTGTAACCTGACTTCCCCATGTATGTAACCATTGTAACCTGACGTCCCCATGCATGTAACCATTGTAACCTGTTTTCACATGCATGTAACCATTGTAACTCAACTTCCCCAAGTATGTAACCATTGTAACCTGATTCTCCATGTATGTAACCATTGTAACCCGACTTCCCCATGCATGTAACCATTGTAACCTGATTTCCCATGCATGTAACCATTGTAACCTGATTTCCCATGCATGTAACCATTGTAATTAACTTCCCCATGTATGTAACCATTGTAACCTGATTCTCCATGTATGTAACCATTGTAACCCGACTTCCCCATGCATGTAACCATTGTAACCTGATTTCCCATGCATGTAACCATTGTAACCTGATTTCACATGCATGTAACCATTGTAACTCAACTTCCCCATGTATGTAACCATTGTAACCTGATTCTCCATGTATGTAACCAATGTAACCCGACTTCCCCATGCATGTAACCATTGTAACCTGATTTCCCATGCATGTAACCATTGTAACCTGATTTCCCATGCATGTAACCATTGTAACCTGATTTCCCATGCATGTAACCATTGTAACTCAACTTCCCCATGTATGTAACCATTGTAACCTGATTCTCCATGTATGTAACCATTGTAACCCGACTTCCCCATGCATGTAACCATTGTAACCTGATTTCCCATGCATGTAACCATTGTAACCTGATTTCACATGCATGTAACCATTATAACTCAACTTCCCCATGTATGTAACCATTGTAACCTGATTCTCCATGTATGTAACCATTGTAACCCGACTTCCCCATGCATGTAACCATTGTAACCTGATTTCCCATGCATGTAACCATTGTAACTCAACTTCCCCATGCATGTAACAATGGTAACCTGACTCTTCCATGTATGTAACCATTGTAACCTGACTTCCCTATGTATGTAACCATTGTAACCTGATTTCCCATGCATGTAACCATTGTAACCCTCATTCTCCATGTATGTAACCATTGTAACCTGACTTTCCCATGCATGTAACCATTGTAACCTGATTGCCCATGCATGTAACCATTGTAACCCAATTTCCCCATGCATGTAACCATTGTAACCTGATTCTCCATGTATGTAACCATTGTAACCAAACTTCCCCATGCATGTAACCTGATTTCCCATGCATGTAACCATTGTAACCTGACTTCCCCATGTATGTAACCATTGTAACCTGACTTCCCCATGCATGTAACCATTGTAACCTGATTTCCCATGCATGTAACCATTGTAACCAGCAATCCCCATGGATGTAACCATTGTAACCAGCAATCCCCATGTATGTTACCATTGTAACCCGATTTCCCATGCATGTAACCATTGTAACTAGCAATCCCCATGTATGTAACCATTGTAACCCTCATTCTCCATGTATGTAACCATTGTAACCTGACTTTCCCATGCATGTAACCATTGTAACCTGATTCTCCATGTATATAACCATTGTTACCCTCATTCTCCATGCATGTAACCATTGTAACTAGACTTCCCCATGCATGTAACCATTGTAACCTGATTTCCCATGCATGTAACCATTGTAACCCGACTTCCCCATGCATGTAACTATTGTAACCTGATTTCCCATGCATGTAACCATTGTAAACCGACTTCCCCATGCATGTAACCATTGTAACCTGATTTCCCATGCATGTAACCATTGTAACTCAACTTCCCCATGCATGTAACCATTGTAACCTGACTTCCCCATTTATGTAACCATTGTAACCGGACTTCCCCATGTATGTAACCATTGTAACCTGACTTCTTCATGTATGTAACCATTGTAACCTGATTTTCCATGCATGTAACCATTGTAACCTGACTTTCCCATGCATGTAACCATTGTAACCTGATTCTCCATGTATATAACCATTGTAACCCTCATTCTCCATGCATGTAACCATTGTAACTAGACTTCCCCATGCATGTAACCATTGTAACCTGATTTCCCATGCATGTAACCATTGTAACCCGACTTCCCCATGCATGTAACTATTGTAACCTGATTTCCCATGCATGTAACCATTGTAAACCGACTTCCCCATGCATGTAACCATTGTAACCTGATTTCCCATGCATGTAACCATTGTAACTCAACTTCCCCATGCATGTAACCATTGTAACCTGACTTCCCCATTTATGTAACCATTGTAACCGGACTTCCCCATGTATGTAACCATTGTAACCTGACTTCTTCATGTATGTAACCATTGTAACCTGATTTTCCATGCATGTAACCATTGTAACCTGACTTTTCCATGCATGTAAACATTGTAACCTGACTTTCCCATGCATGTAACCATTGTAACCTGATTTCCCATGCATGTAACCATTTTAACCCGACTTCCCCATGCATGTAACCATTGTAACCTGATTCTCCATGTATGTAACCATTGTAACCCGAATTCCCCATGCATGTAACCTCATTTCCCATGCATGTAACCATTGTTACCTGACTTCCCCATGTATGTAACCATTGTAACCTGACTTCCCCATGCATGTAACCATTGTAACTTGATTTCCCATGCATGTAACCATTGTAACCAGCAATCCCCATGTATGTAACCATTGTAACCTGATTTCCCATGCATGTAACCATTGTAACCAGCAATCCCCATGTATGTAACCATTGTAACCCTCATTCTCCATGTATGTAACCATTGTAACCCTCATTCTCCATGCATGTAATCATTGTAACTAGACTTCCCCATGCATGTAACCATTGTAACCTGATTTCCCCATGCATGTAACCATTGTTATCCCCAAACCATATGTATTTTATCATTGTAACCTGACTTCCACATGCATGTTATCATTGTAACCTAACTTCAATGTGTATGTAATCATTGCAATAGCTCTACCCCTACCTATTCAGTTTGCAGCAGAAATGGTCAATTATAAAGCCGGTATTGCATATCATTTCGTAAAGGTCCATGTGTGTAACAAATGTAACCAATGTAACCATTGCTTCAATGGGGGTAACAAAACAAGATACCTATATTCAAGTGCACATTTTGTGCCATATCTAGCAGAAAGGGTCATCAAAATTAAATTATTCGCGTTATCAAGGAAAACAATTACTAGGGTGAAAGCAAAAATAATGTTTATTGTTTCCCAAAGTCAGGGAACAATAAAATTGACTATTCTCATTGTGTGAATAAGCAATTATAAGTGCAAGTCGCTTCCAAATCTTTTCAATCAAAATTGCAAGTCAGGTTTCTTACCAAGTTCGCCATGTTGGTAAAATAAACTTCCTGTCTTGCGCATTAATAGGGGTTTCCCGAGGTACTAGCTTTATCATACTCGAACACGAAAAATTCAAAGAGACACCGGTGTGGGAACGGGAAAACCCTTCACTCAGTGGCTGTTATTCTTACCTCCTGAAAGCTTTTAAATTTGTATTTTTCTTAAAAGCTTGTTAATGATACACTTAAATAGCGTATCAAAGAGATCATGCTTAAAAATAATGTAGTTGAAGGATTCAGTTGAATATATTAACGCTTTCGGTAATATTATTGTGTGAATAATTATCAACTGAGCTTTTACTAATTTTGGGGAGATAATTGGATTAGCCAAAGGAACTCCTTTGATTTTGATGAGAAAGGCAGTGATAAATAGAAAGTAAAAATGACCCAAAAATCACACTGAGTCTGTGTTTTACGTTTTCTAAATATGGAATACGTGTGTATTTGAAGATAAATTATACCCTTACATTTTGATTATATATGTTCATGGTTATGGAAGTTCTGTTAAATTAGTTCATTTAAAGCACCTGAACATTTTTTACCTGGAAATGGATTATACACATTCAAAATATGTATGCTGTTTGATGATGATTTTTTGGATATTATCAGTAGATACCTTTCAGAATCGTAAGTTTAACAATTCGTTATTCCACCAGTATCAGTTTATGGTACATGTACGTATATATATGTAAATATCCTAAGTTAAAATTAAATAAATGGAAACAGCTTTTGCATGCTATTATAGAATGCTAGTTTGCTTTTTCAAAAGTTCTTTGTGGAAAAGTCATGTTTAGATAAATGCGACCATTCATTGCAGAAAACCAAACATAATGTGTTGTAGTTACAAGTCAGATGATGATGAAATAATTTTTGTTCCCTCTGGCCGTAGTCCGAAAACACACGAAAAAGGGGATAGTTTTCCTAAGGCTATGCAGGGCTGGTTTATAGAGGTTGCTGTTGTTACAATAAAACACATACATGCACAAATGTACCCCAAGTGGTTTTTGCCGTTGAGAACTGAGGTGTTGATTGTACATGTTGTAGGTCTTAAGTCACCTAGCTGTCTCTTAATTTCATACACAATTTGTCTAGACATAAGAGCTTGACATACATGTACATGTACATGAACAGTATAAGCACTTGTCTGCTATATATTTAGTTGACCCCCAATCTTGTTGACTTTGTCAAATTTGTTATAACCTTACTGTATCAATGCCATAAAGCCTCATCTCGCTTCCTTTTTGTATCTGTAATATTGAACAGGTCAGGAATAACCATTAATTGGTGGATTATACCTCAATTCAGGTATAATTCACCATTCGACATATAATGTGACACACCAATTAAGGTATAATGCAGTTTTTTATCCAAATAATTTTTAAGATATTGGAGCATCTTTTTGCACTTACCATAACAAGCTTTGATGACCACTTAGTGATGACATGTAATTGATTCTGACACTTCGTGCTGCAATTTGTTAGAGAAACTTAAATAGTAATGTATAACCCTCGTTTTCCTACTTAAAAATTCTGAGTTTTCATCTATTAATTCTTATTTTTGTTCTTTAGACACTTCCTGTCCATTTCGACTAACAAATCTTATAGTTGGAACTGATGCAGACTTAGGAATCCAGTTGTGAATATCCACCAATTGGTGGATTATACCCCAATTGAGGTATAATACACATTTTAACAAAACGCAGCACAGGAAGTCAGACACAATTATATGTCACTAATGAGTACTTATCAAAGCTTAAGATGGTATATACAAAAAGATGCTCAAATATCTCTTTAAAAAAATTGTGATAAAAACTGCATTACACCTCAATTGGTCTATCTCACTATATGTCAAATGGTGGATTGTACCTCAATTGAGGTATAATCCATCCATTAATGGTTATTCCTGACCTGTTGAAGCACTGATCCTGGTAATTTTGTATAGACCTACATGTAGTACAATGTAAGAAATATACATATTACACAAACAGAATCTTAAAATTTAAATGTTCAGTCAATACACATGTGATACATGTACATGTACATGCAATATGAAAGTGAAAATTAACCATAAACAATTATAGTTTATAACAAGGACTAAGCAAACATACAATATAGTTTTTGCCTCTTACATTGACCTTTAACTTTTAATATGAAATATCTTTTATAAACATTTAATAGTGTATGCATGTAGGCCTCAAGATACAGGGTACAATGTACATGTACAAAAAAATGTAGCTTGTCTGTATATTTTGTTATCTTGGGTTCTTGTCTCATAACTGTGTACATTTTTACTTATATCTCTTTTTACTCTTAAAACATGCTCTATATAGTTGACTATGCGGTATGGGTTTTGCTCATTGTTGAAGGCTGTACGGTGACCTAGCTATAGTTGTTAATTTCTGTGTCATTTGGTCTCTTGTGGAGAGTTGTCTCATTGGCAATTATACCACATCTTCTTGTTTTTATATCTATATCTGTATATCATGTATACAGCAACTGTATGTTTTAATTACTGTAAATTCAGAAATTGTTGTGATGTTTTTATTATTGCTTATTATGTGAATAATGCGACTAGGTGAGTATCAGTAATGCTACTAGGTGAGTATCAGTATAGTACATGTAGTAAGAACCAACATTCTGATATACAAAAAAATGTATGTATCAGATATCTGAATCATTCAGATATCTGATACATACATTTTTTTGTATATATACATGTATATACATCTCTTTTTCAAATTTTCCTGAAATCACAATAATATTTTGTTCATTCTTATTCATTCAATAATAAATGCACACAATAATTTCTGAATTTACAGTAGTAATGACAAATTAAAAATTGTGTGTGTGAGGTTTCCATCTTTTGACAAAAGGGTAGGTACTAACGGTACAAGTACATAAATGTTTACTTAAAAACATAAACAAATAAATAGAGACTGTGTCCATGGGACACAGATGATGCCCCCGCTTGCATAAAACATTATAAAAGGACATAACTAGAGAACTGTAAAAGTGACGCCACCCAAATTCGAACTTGATCTGTGTTTATGGTAATAAGCAGTGTATAAGTTTCATAAAATTTGGTTGAGACAAACTAAAGTTAGAGAATGGAAACGAAAAATTCAGCAATTATTCCATTTATAAAGGGGCATACATGTAACTCAGGAATGGTAAAAGTGACGCCACCCAAATTCCAAGTTGATCTGTGTTTTGTGGTAATAAGCTTTGTGTGTAAGTTTCATAACATTTGGTCAAGGGAAACTAAAGTTAGAGAATGGAAACCAATTTCGGGACATAAGGATGGACAGACCTGCAGATGGACAAGGGTAAACCTTAATGCCCCCTCTGCTACGACGGGGGCATAAAATGAAGAAATATCATGCAAAACACGATTATACCTGTGGACTAAAATCTGTATGAAGGTACAAGGGTCTCTGTCAATTGCATAATGCAAGAATGCATGTACATGTAGAAGATAGATGTAATTTACAATGTATATTTATTGAATATCCTGAAATAATTGATTATTGTAACATGCATATCATAATATGGCATTTAAATGCTGCTTTGAATATAAATGAAACTGCAGAAATTCATTTTTTTTTTCTGAAATGTATATATACATGTAGGTTTTAAACTAAATATTCATTGTGTTGAACATCAACATGTTGAAATGTTTTTATTTTATTTAAGTTTTTTAAATTATACTCAATGTACAAAAAAATGTACATAATTATACTAGATTTTTGTACATGATTGACATGTACATGTATGCTGAGGCTAAATAAAAGTTGCATAAGAATAGTTTTTGCTTATGCAAAACATGAAAAATGGTTCTTTGAATTGACTCTGCTGGCTAGTTTAATTTTGTCAAAATATTTTTGGCACATAAATTAATAAGAGATTTTACAGTGTGTTAAACCACTTTAAGTACAGTGTATGACTTTGTTCTGAAGTATGTAAGAGTGAAAGCATTTCCTTTTGAGATTTAACTAGGTTTATCCTAGATATTTTTACATGTATTTATATAAAGTATTACCGATTGGTCAATGAGCCATTTCCTTTAACAATGAAGAGACTTTGATCACATTATTATGGGTAAATTACTTGCCATCAAATATATGTAATTTTGTCAATTTGATTTTCATTCCCTGTAGGTAAAAATGTGTGATCGATGATTACATCATATATAGTTCTGGTATACATGTAGATACATTTGTGTACATATTTAACAATGTTTTATTTAGGATTATATAATTAATAATATGGTCTCCCCAGGCAAGTAACATGCAATATGTATTTTGTTTCCATTAACAGAATTGAGGTGTGCTATGCTTTTAGAATATCCTTATACATGTAAATGTAAGCTGTCCCTGTGTGCTTTCAGAGAGATATAAGAGAGTCTTGGGATAATCTAATTTCAACATTGTAGGCGCTGCAATAATATAGTCATTTATTAATGACAAAAAAATTGGAAGGTTTTATGCCCCTTTAATTTGAAAATCATAGAAAATACAGCAAGACATCGAGCTGTACCACCCTTTCCTAAGATTTTACTTATTCCGTCAACCAGAGAGTTCAAAAGGATATCTTTCAGAGAATACATATATATATTTAAAAGAACAACAGGAATTACTAGAAATATTGGTCAGGATAATTATAAGATATCTGTGACATCATAGGTACATGTATCCACCAACAGAAGTCTCAAGACTAAAAGCATTATGTATACCATATATCGAATAACACCGGTTGGATGTTTAAAAGACATTAATCAGTTTCTCATCAGAATTTATATTCTTAAAATTTTCTCACATTTTTGCTTTCATGACTGGTAAATGCAAAACTGCAAAAGGCACAAAAATTGTCTCATTTTAAGATTTTGCCATAAATGGTAAGGTAACTACATGTACAATATAAGAGGCCACAAATTATTTGGTTTTTGCCTTCAGCCTTTTCCCCTTTTACGTTATGTACCTACATTGTTTGAAATTTGTACATGTATAAATTGTGTGTATTTGTATTTGAAGAGGATAGGGATACAGGTGTCCATTTGTTTTTTTTCTGTGTTTCATTTTAATTGTTTTTTTATGATAAAGCTAGTAAAACTTAAGTCCTTCAACTCTGTTGTTACATTTTTCTTTTGTTTATCACACTTGCAGTATTTTTACACAATGTTACTCAGGATTGAATAATCTTGCATGACAAACAAGATGACCATTCTAAAAATATATATTAACAATCTATGTATTAATCATCAGAAAAAGTCAATATTATAAAACCCAACACCTACATACCTGTATACTGTCATGGTTAAAAGTTGTTGATTGAAGTGATCCTGTGATTTCTCCATAATCAATGATCATTATCTATCAATAGGGAACAATAAAATACATGACCAAACTTTTATTTATTACTCATAAAATTACATTTTCATAAAGCAAAAACAGATAAATCATACTAGATAATTTTTAAATGTCCTAGTTGAAATGAGTTAATCAAGAATTTATTTTAATTGGGTCACAAGTTCACAACAGCATGTAAAGAAATTTGTTCATTGAATTGAAAAAAAACAAATGTAGATGTAGGTTAACTGTTTCCCAATCTTACAGTACTACACCTTATGTG